GGCTGGGTCGGTGGTGGTTTTCCGAGGCCCTCGTGGATCGTGACTCAGCCGTGTTAATACAGGATTTCCTTGCGTTGTTTCATGTGTGGGGTTCTACAGGGCGCGACGTGAGCTGAGAGTGGTTAACGATTCAACCAGTGAAGGAGTTTTGCCTATAGGGATGTAATGGGGGGAGGGGGTGCAGAGGCTTACATTGAGACTTTGAAAGTAACAGGACAGTAAGAACAGTATTATAACATGAACAGTGAAGGAGCATGATCGTCAGCAAGTGGTCTCAGATGAAGTGGATAAGACCAAATGCTCATAATCAGTTTTTTAGTGAGTATTCTTGCCTCTTTCTGAGCAGCTACGTTTTCATCCTCCTTGTTCTCCTCAAATGAGCAGAGATCCTCAATCAGAAACGAATGAACAGTAGTGGTGATTAGCACATCATGGTCTTAAATGAGCAAAAACATAACTCCAGCTGTAAAAGCAACAGATAGCAAGATGTTCCTGTATCTGTATTTTGAGAAAACTCAAGGAGGGAAGGTAATTTCTTTTGTCTTCTAGTCATCACAAAAGATAAATACCTCTCACAAAACAAATAATGAATCTAGAAAGCTGGCAGTAGCATGTTCAGTGCTACCATTATCTTTTCAGGGCAGAGAGCTGTAGCAGTGGAAGTCAAAAAAGTTGTAGTTAAGCCTTTTCTGTTAGTGATATAATGAAAGGAAGCAAGGGCTTTGGGAGATCTCCCTTGAATAACAGGGAGAACTAAAGCAAAAAAACCCAACAGGATATAGCAATCTCAAACTACTGTAGTTAGTGGCAGACCCTAGAAAAGGGAGGCGAGTGGCCTGGGGAGTTGGGAGTGGATGGACCTGTGGATAAAGGAGGCAATGGTTGACAGAGTTCGTGGATAAGGGAGAAAATGGCCAGGATGGCAGTTTGGGCCAAACTGCGGGTGAAGTTTTACTGTTGGCTTAAACTGAGCACGTGCAGCCACTCAGGGCACTGACTCCTGCTTTGGCTGGGAATTTGCTCTGTTAAAAAAGGTTGTAAAAAAATTGCCATAATTTCCTTCTCACCTCTTGGTCTGCTTTAAGCACAGTGGGATTTCCCTTTCTTGTGGTTCTGTGATGATCTTAGGTTATCTGTGCATGGTTGTTTAGTTGTACTCTGGGAGTGTTACAGAGTTTTAAAGGGTAAGATGAAGGCTCACTGAAAACAGGAGAGAGACCGGAAAGAGAAATTTGAGGAATGGAAACTGGAACTGGATGAGGAGCAAGAGATAGGAGTTGAAGTCCAGCTCTTAGTGAAAAAAGAAACAAATGCCAGAAATCTCATAGGCTTTCTCCTTTTAACTCTTTGGGTCCTGGTGTGGTTTTTGTAATTTTAGGGGTTTTTTCCTTTGTTTTGGTGGGGTTTTTTTCACTGTGCTACTGAACTGGAGTTTAGAGGTTGTACTAGAAAACAGGGTAATCCAAGATTAACTGTCACTGTTACCTTGCTAAAGATTTTTTTCTTTCCCCCCCCTCCTCGTTTCCTCCTCAGACTTATGTAGTTAGGAGAGCTGACTGCTAAAGAGAAAATGACATCTCCAGAAAAAGGTAGGTGGTTCACGTGATATCTAAGCAGACCAGGCTAAAAGTACTTTAACTTGAATTCTAAAGACCGGAGTTACACTGTATGCCAGGCTCTATTCATTAAACTTACTCCTTTTATGCAGCTATTAGCAAGTAGTTATGTGACTTCATTATTGCAGTGAAAACCAGAGCTGCCTGGATGGAACAGTTAATTGAATGTTAATGAATGTTAATGGAACAGTTAATTAATTCTAATCCAGCTTTGTATTGAAAAACAACTTTGTCACTGGTACTATCATCTGTCTGCACACTTGCCTGTCAGTCCTCCTCTAGTATTTAGAACCTGTTGGTACTGATTCAGCCAACCTGAAAGCAGGGCAATATAATGGTGCTACTACAGCATTTGTGAAATTCATTATTTGGATAGAGGATGCAGGCTCATGCTAACTGCCTGCAGTATGAGGAAAAAAGCAGTATGTGTAGCTATGTTCTAAGAAACTTTCTTGCCTTCGCCCATTGTGCGGAAACTATGACAATAATATTTCATTCAGCTGAAAACTTAGTGAACTTAAATAAAATGAGTTTCAGTAAACATTATCACACATATTGGGGAATTCAGATCAGAATGCAGCATTGCTGGGAATACTGGGGTCTATTGATTAGAAATGAAGCAGACCTGGCTTGTTGGCTTTTTCTAAACCTTGCGTTGGACAACTAAAACACATGGTAGATAGTACTTAATAATCTGCTAAACTTCTTAAGGCGTTAGTAGCTATGTAGCAAATAGCTGCTTTTAAATTTAATTCTTGCTTTTAAAATGAGTCTGCTCTGATTCTGTCAGCTCCCCAAACCCAGTTTTGCTTTCAATCTATGAGTAGTATTGTCAAGAATTTTCTCCTTACTAGCTCATTTTCATGTCTGCAACTAATCTTGTATGGCAGCAGGAAATTAAGATTAATGCAATTCAAATCAATGTCTGTCTCTTCTACTATAGTATTAATGAGCAACACACACTTGAGTAAGGACTTTTCTAACTTGTGCTTTGTAATTGCTGCTGCAAAGGACTATTTTACATATGCAGTGTGCAATTATAAATCTGTAACTTTGAAGTACAGAAATTAAGTCAAGAGTTACAATGAAACTATAACGAAGTGAAAGGTGGTAAGCTTTCCCTCCGCTATTTCTAAATTTTAGTTGATGATGCCTCATCACCCATCCGAGGACCTGGAGATGGCATGGAAACAGAGCAGACAGCTGAGTCGGTGGAAGTAGTCACTGGAGCCAACACCACGAAGCAGCACATCCACCACAGCCCACATAAAAAGACAGTCCCTTCCCTGAGTCCCGGAGTTCTGCAGCTAGGGAAAGTACATGCTGATAAATCAGTGGAGATTGAAGCTGTTCGTATATTAGTCCCCAAGGCAGCTATCACCCATGTTGTTCCAACTAAAAATACTAAGGTAGCTAAATCAGTGGGACATAAAGGAGACCTGTTCCATCAGTCAGATGGAGCTGCAGATCCCAAGAAAGAACAGATAGAGCTGAAAAATGCGATCGAAAAGCTAAAGAATTCAGAAAAGCGGTTGTTACAGGATAAAGAAGGTCTCTCTAATCAGCTACGTATACAGACAGAGGTAAGAAATTAAAGGTATTTTCTCTCACACAGATGAGCTGCTTTGGTTTATATAGCCAGTTTGTGAATGTGACCAGAGAGAACTGTTATGACACTCTCACCTTGAAACAGATAGTTTCCCTTTTAAACTTATCAGCTAAGATACAGAGTAGAAGTACATCTAAGCAATCCAGTCCTGCTTCTCTGACAACAGATGAAAGTATCAAAGGCTTGAAGCTGGGAGAAACACATTAGGGGGCTGCAGGGAAATGGATCTTTCATGAGGAAAGACTTTGTTCCCAACTCAACCGCTAAGTGAAAAATGTTATGCCATAGAAGGGGTGACTATAATTTTCTACATAACATAATCTGTAGATGTCTTGTCTAATCCTTTGTTATCTTACTGATTCAGGACTTGAATGTTACTGAAACTTTCTTTGTTTCTTGTAGCAGGCTTTCATTCTTCCTCTTTGGGCCTCTGTTGGAATTTAAACAAGAATGTGTTAAATGTGCATTAGTCTCAAATGTTTATGCTCGCTGGAGTGGATTGTGAGGCTTAATACACTCTGCATTGGATTTGTCCCATTCTGGAAAGAGAAGGGCAAGTTATTGTTAGGTATTTGCAATAACTTGCATTGCATTCTGGAAGTAGAAGATGTTCCATTCTATACTGGTAATTACAAGACAGTCTGGTCTAATTCTAGGTGAATCGGGAGCTGAAGAAATTACTTGTTGCTTCTGTTGGGGATGATCTGGAGTACCACTTTGAACGGATGGCTCGTGAGAAAAATCAGCTAATCCTAGAAAATGAAGTCCTGGGGCGGAATATGTCTCAGTTGTCTGAACAATTAGAGCGCATGTCCATACAATGTGATGTGTGGCGAAGCAAATTCCTAGCAAGCAGGTATTCCCTCTTACAGAACAGCATTCTCCTTTAGTCTTCTGTTACATACGCCCATTGCAATGCCTGGGAATATGCCTAAATATGCCGAGGACAGCCACAACAGCTATACTAACACCTACTATGAGGTTTGAGTATACAGAAAAGGTACAAAGTAAGCTCCTTGTAAATCTGAATAGTTCTCCTTTCCAAAGGTAATACAGTGGATCCTAAACCCCTTAAAATCTTAAGTATGGTTCTTCTCAACATAGCAAGAGAAGCTCTTATTTCTGATAGACTGTGTGCAGTTTAGGGTTTAAAAATGTCTTCCAAGACAGCTGTCTTGACTCATCTTAAAGGTAATTAGCTTGATTTTCACCCCCATCCCCCAAGTAGGATACAATCGTCAACATGTGAAGAAGTTGATTTGGTTAAGAACTCTGCTTACAGTGATTCAGGGATCTACTGGGAAGGGCAGCTCACTATGGAAGAAAGGGTTGGGGCACCTTTTCATTAAACACTGATTGTGTTACTGCTCAGAACCCTACTGTTACTTGTATAACCATAAAATAATGGGTAGCAAAAGTCAGGAGGTGATCTTAAGCTGGCCTGAATGTCAGAATCTCATTTGACAATGGATTAAACTTTTAACTTGCTAAGTGTAGTTGTCTTACCAGATATGTAGTGTTCTAGGATTTTTAATCTTTTACTGTACTTGGATATAACTAACTAAATTTTAATTATGATGCTTAATGCATATTACAAAAAGGCCTTACTGCTTGAAGGAAATGGTAATAGAATACAGTGTTCTCCCTTTAATTTGCTGGTCTTAAGAAGTTTCAGCATATTGAGTGAATGTAAATACTTGTAATAGTCCTAGCTAGGCAAGTGTTACTATCCTAATTTAACTTGTTTCTTTAGCATTAATAGGAGTTCTGAGATCAGGGATGCAAGTCCCTTCTAGGAATGACAGTGTGGTGATGTGCTTAGAGTAACACCCTTCGATATTGTAACATTCTGGTTCGTTGAGATCTCAGATTTCTAACTGGTGGTTGTTTAAATGTCATTCTGTTTTTTGCATTTGCAGTACCGCAGGCATTTGAAATACCTGCTTGAGGGGTCTGTGCCAAGTCTCATGGCATAGCAAAATATGACATCAGTTGTCTCATTTGTAGCTCTTACATGCTCATATCTGGCACATATAATATGTAGTTATTGCCCCTGAGAAAGGCAAAGATGTGAATGAATGCAAACTGTGGCCATAGCCGTCATCTTTAGGGAGGAGTATGAAAAGGCATGATTACAGCATACTTGTGAGAACTGTGTTAGTAAAACAAAATGTATTTAGCTTTATCTGTCAGGATGCTTGTCCACCATGTTCACAAGGTGTTCACATGTACTCAAGGTGTTTTAAAATGTCTGTTACCAGATTTGTATTAAGTGACATAAGATTGTTTAAACTCAGCAAGTCAAAACATAATCTTGCAGTTGTGTTGACTGTAGTTGAACAGAAATTGCTCTTAATACATGTCCTTTGTGATAAGGTTGATGTAGGCCCTGCATGGGGAAAGGGGGTGAGAACAGCAGCTTAGTACTTAGTTTGAGCTGACAAATTATGGTCTGTAGTAGAATAAAGGTGACTTTCAAACTGCTCCCTTACACTACTGATTGGAGATTTCTTTTGCAGGGTTATGGCTGATGAGCTAACCAATACCAGAGCAATTCTTCAGCGTCAAACCAGGGATGCACAAAGTGCAATCCAGGACTTGCTGAATGAACGCGATCAGTTCCGTCAAGAGATGATTGATACACAGAAGTACGTTTTTTCTAATCCAGACTATCTATGTGCAAACTTTTCATTTCTGTCAGTTTATTCTAGGCCAGAGAAGAATCAAGTAACTTTCCCCTATTCCAGTGATATTCAACAAAAATCAATTATGCTGATGGATAGTATGGTCACTTTTCAGTCTCAGAGCTGAAAAAGCCAAAGTAGCATTCTTTCTTCATCGTTCCATGGAGGTATGAGGTGTTAGGGGTCATATACTGTGGAACGGACATCCCTCATATCCTCAGACTTTCTCTTTTTAATCACTTACTGTCTTGACTTCAAGTCTTCTCTGTCTCCTTCCAAAACATACAGATTCTTGTACCCGTATTGGCTCTTTAATGCTTATCCTGCCAGATGTAAAGTAAGTTTTACCAGTATTAAAATACTGTAGTGGTGAGGCCTTGCCTTGCCCTGCCTGTTTGCCTCCTTGTTTTTAAACACTTAAAACCACTACTAGTGCTCTTTTTCCTTTCTGCACAGGCTGCTGGAGGAGCTGATGGTTTCTCTTCAATGGGGAAGACAACAGACATACTATCCTAGTGCCCAGCCTTACACTACAACAGAGCTAGCAGCTGTGAATTGTAAGCTAGCCAAAGCTGTAAGCTCACATCTTCTTGGAAATGTTGGCACTAACAGTCCAAAAAAGACTTCAACAGCTGTGGAGTTTTGCAATACCCCTGCTGAGAAGATGGCTGAAATGGTAAGAACTCTTCATACATCTCAATCTGTCAGCACAGAGTCTTCTTTCCAGAAACGCCTTGCTTTGTGTTAACTGCTTAGTATCTTGCCATTTTTAAAAACTATATGCAGGGGAAACATGCTGAATAGAGCTGTCTGTCTTTTTTTTTTTTTTTTTTTTTAAATGAGGGAAACAAAAAACCCCAAACAAAAAAAAAACCAAACAACCCCTCCCCCCCAAAAAAAAACAAAACTGGAAGAATAAGCAGAACAACATAAATAATACGATGATACATACTGTTTCCTTCTCTGTCCCTACCACCACAGATAACTGGGTGAAAATTTGTTTAGAGTTAGTGTGTCAGGAGGAAGCCAACTGAAAATACTTAGTTGAGTTTAAAAGATGAGAAGAAACCTAGTTCAGGTAGGAATAAGTCATAACACTTCAGCAGTAGTTTCTGTTGCCCTAAAAATCAGTTCTGTTTAAAGTGGGTGAAAACACAAAGAGAAGCTATATGATTATCTTTCAGGATAAAGTTCCACTGCAGGAAGCTTGATATTTAAATAGCAGATTAGACTAACAGTTTAGTCTGGAGGCAATTGAGTAATAGTTGAGCCACAGGAGGCTCACAGTGCCCAGTGATCTCTGTTGTTCTTGCCTGGTTTTGATCAACTCTGATAAAAAGATTAGAATTTTCTTTATTGTCAATAAAATCTTATCTTGGATTTCTGATGGACATTACGAACTTATAAACAGTACTTAGTGTCTTTGTATTGAGGGTCTGGATAGATGGATATTTAGTTTTAAACTTGGAAAAAAATTGAAAAATTGCTTTTGAGCAGAAATCCTTCCTAGCTGTTAGAGAAGGATAAAACCCATTAAAAGTAATAGATATATTTTCAGTCTCAATTTTTCCATCCTTAGGTGCTACGTGTACTGGATCCAGCTGCATGTACAGAAACAACAGAAGTTTCTTTTTCTGAGGCTTCTCCATCCTCCTTCCTTTCCACAAAGAAGAGTATTGGAAGGTTTCACCCATATACAAGATACGAAGATGTAACTTTCAATTGTTGCAATCGCTGTCAAGGAGAGCTGATAGCCCTTTAAGAACACAGCCAATGCAACTGCACATGCACTCTTTCTGAAGAATTACACTAGTTGACATTCAGCAGGCTTCCCTTTTTCCTATTTCTTTCCATAATGGGTGGGTTTAACATTGCAGTTTCTGCTTCTATACCTCTTGAAGTTAGGGACTGACAGGATTTCCTTAGCCTCTGGGATACTTCTACTACTTTTCAGTCTGGAAAGCTACTTACTTTCTTCTACAAAGGCAAGACCAAAAATATTATGCTGGTCCAATTTATAGAGCACAGAGATGCCCTTGACTATTTAAGGTTTACAGTCTTATTAGCAAATCTCAATGAATTTCTCTTTAGAGGGAGACAAAAGCGTAACTATACCAAAGTAAATGAAGTGCTGATAGGTTATGTTTAAAAAAAAAAAAAGTGATGGAAAATGGTCAGCTCCGTGCTTTTTTTTTTTTTAATCTTAGCCAAGGTGATGAACTGTCCCCAAGTCTATGTTCAGCCTTTTAAATTTAGTAATAAAAAGGAGTATGTGCAATGATTCTTCATAGCTGTAAGTTCTGAAAGTAAGAGCATACGCAGTGTTGCAGTGCTCCCGGCAAAAAAAAAAGGAAAGAGCTTGAATGAACTCTAGTCATAATATATAAATAGTAACTGGTTTTAAATGGATTCTGGAAAACTGTGCAGGGTGAGATTATTCTTGTGTTTCCATAAAGCTAAAATAATGGCTTTCCCATCTATTTCAGCTTCTAGAGTGAAGCTGTTGCATAGCTGATCCTCAGCAAAGACAGACTGATATACCTCCTTTAGTACATAGTGTTGAAACCTTAGAACTCAGTCCTTGCCCAAGGTCTTCCTGGGTGTTATGGGAAGCTGAAGATAAGCATTAAGTTTGCACAGGTACTAGTAAAAAAATATATTTTTTTACTTTTATGGTTTTATAATCTTGATGTAGGTTCGAAGAGAACTAGCAGATAATCTGCTAAATCCAAAGAAGCCTATTTAAGTTGCAAATGTAAAGAGGAAAGGTAGGAGGATGCAAATAGGCATTTTAATTTCTTACTTTCACTCCCAAATTTATCATATATAGCTGTCTAGTTTGGGGAGAGGGTTTCTGAAATGGTTGCTTTTACCCAGTTTTCCTTTGAATCTCATATCATGATCAGAATATGTAAGTTATAAGTTCTTGCCGTTACTGGCCATGCTTTGGTTTGCATGAAGAAAGCTACAATAAACTTTCTTTGCTTGCTTTCAAGTTGCAATTCTGGATTTAATATAGCTGTATTTCTGACCTTGTTTTCCCTGCAGCATAAAAGGAACTATGTGTCAAACCTTTCATTCTACTGGTCTGAGGTATTGAACGAAGAAGCACTTCTTTTGTAGCTTACTTCAATTAGGGAGATAGCGTGAACCTTTGCAAACCTTCCCCCTGCATTTGCTTGCTAGACACAAGAAGCATTTCTTGCCCTTGGTGTCACGGGAATGTACAGGAAGGAGGAAGGCACCTGTTACTCATGTTTCTCATTAGCATGTGAAATTTTCATTTCACATCCATGTCTGTTATCTATACTGGTAAAAGCTGCAACACAGCACCATCCAGCCAAACACTCAGTACTCTCTCAATATGCCTATAACTATCTCCAAAATGGTAAGAGAAAAATACTAACGGCAAATTTGCTTTGCATCTACACTTCCCTCTATTACAGTACTTTCAGAAAACACTTTAAATGTGGAAAAATGTAAGAACAAGGCCAGATCATGAAATCTGTTGGACACAGCTGGACAGAATGTTCCTCATCTTCCACTAACTTCATGATTTCATGAGTGACCTCAGCATGTTCTCTGACAAGAGCTCACAATTTAGATCGGTAAGGTGATGTAGTTTATTACAATTAATTTAGCAAACATGGCTGTGTATACAAGGAATCCAGCTTCCTTGATACTGGTAAAGGTCATAATTCACACAACCTTTTAATCTCATGGAATAGAAAACTACTGAATATGACTCACAGAAATAAGTTCCAAAAACCATTGCACATTCACATACATGTTAGCCTTCAATGACTACTTTCCCTGAACTAAAATAAAATAGTCCCTTGGTCTAGCCAGAATTAACAGGTCGTCAACAGATGTTGACCAGAAATAGGTACAAGGAATAGAAAGTGGTACAAGAAACAGCATTTTCCGACAGTGTAACACCTTGTACAGTCTTCATCACAAGCACCAGCAAACAGCAATATTAATCCAGCAAAGATTCAACATTTTACATAATAGCCTGCATCCAGGAATTCATGGTAGAGTTGAGTATAAAGTGCCTTTTAAAGATAGGAATGTGTATTTGCCACTCTCGCATATAGATCTCACACTCATTTAGATTTGGTCAAACCAAGAAGATCCCTGAGTTATACATAAAAGCAGGCTTTTCAACAAAATTACAAATAAATAGATAGTAAAATCATTGTCAGTGAAGGTAATTGTTAAACTTGCTTGAAAGCTTTAAAAACACCACAAACAAATAATAGCTGTAAAGAGCAAAACCTCAAGCCATAAAAATCAAGAGGGCTGCCACCAAGAACTTTGTGGTTACATCAAACTTTCAACTATAATTGTCTGTGAAGCGAAAGGATTTGGGCTCTGAACTAATGCAGTGGATGTTCTGCATCTGTTTTGCTCTTCTGGCTTCTAATCTAAGCTGCCTTGCTCTCTCCTTAGCAGCTAGTTCTTCTGCTCGTTTTTCTTCTCTCTTTCTTTTTAGCCATCTGTGGAGAGAGAAACAGGACTAGAAGTACTGACAGTTGCAATTGTAAGTTTTATGTCATCCATTCAAAGGAGACTTGCCCCCATTTAACTAGAGTCACCTTGTCCTGCAGAATAAAGTTAGGTGTCATGGCTGAGGCAGTCTAAAAGCCTGCCACTCCTAAATGCAGGAAGCACTACTTTTCCATCCCAATTCTCCTGCTTCTGCACTCACCTCCCCCCTTTTGTTGAGCTGATTCAACTCATGGACTCGAGTTGAATCCATTTTATTGGATTAACTTTCTGCTTGTTTAATGAACTGCAAGCCTGCTCCAGAACAGGCAAAAAGGGGTAGGAGAGAAGGATCTCCGTTTTTCAGCAGAAGCAATTCACTATTTCAGCTCAGGTTCTGACAAGTAGTTTCACAACAGTGAAAAAACAACATCAAGGAATTGATGTGTACGTTTTTGAGGGCATATTAATGCAAAAACTCCCCCCCCAAACCAGTAAGGACTTCAGCAGTGATGATGTATCATAAAATAACTACAGTCTTAAGCTGATAGACTACAAAATTTTCAAATATGTTTCCCTAGGAATGACCCTACTCACTCTTTAAAGGCTCTGTTGCATTCCTCTGTTCTTGGGAAAAAGGCAATTCCCTCAGCTTGGCGTCTCAAAATTTCTATTTGTTTTTCTTTCATGTGTTCTTGGTGCTTTTTTTTAAGCCATAATTTGAAGGCTTCTTCTGGATTCCTGCTCCTCTCCTATTTTTAAAAAAAGACATATATACACAAGGCTTATCATTAACTGACCTTTATATTAATCACGTTATAAGAATTTTTTGAACTCTGCTGGCATTTCCCATCCATGAAACATACTTTATAAGCAAATTAGAGCATATGCTCATCTGGCATGGAATATATACATGAGTATTCAAAGCGGTATGTTTTAAAAAATACTGTATTCAGCTTTTCAAGCCCATCGCTGCAAGGCAGAGGAACTTCAGAACAGAGCATCTGAATCTTCAGGTTTTGGTCAAGTCACATGCATTAACTCCTTGCCAACAAGTTCTGACGGTAAGGAATACACTTCAAAGGGTTTTCCAGCTGCTTGTTCACTGCAGGGTTCAATCAAGTCATTCCCCTGATAAAAAGGAGCATTACTGTACCTCCTGTGATTTTATAGCTATTAAGTTCATATATGCGGCTTCTACAATGCAAGCCACCCTGCCAAGCAGAACAATCCTAAACATGCAAGTCCATTTAGCTCTTTGCTGAAAGCAATGTAACAAAAACATTTCCTATCACTGTAAATTTTCATATGCTTCACTAAAAACACAGACTTAGAATTTGGTTTTCCTATCTAACCAGAGCACTATAGATCCCAGTCTTACATTAGGGAGACCTTACTTTGCTGTTCATGTCTTCTAGCTCCTTTGCACGACGAATTCGCTTTTCTTCTTGCACTTGTTCTTTCTTCTTCTGTAACCAAGCTTTAAAAACCATCTCATTCTCTCTTCTCTTCTGTTCTTCTTGTTCCCTTTTCCTCTCTTCTTCCTTGAATGGAATGAAGAATGAATAAACCTAGTTTTTAAGAGAATCATCTTAATCTGCAAAGGCCTTCATTGTCACAATAGACAATAAAGCCATTTGAGGTATATGAGAGAGATGCAAAAATACTGATGAAACAGGAATGCTCAACGACTGCATCATAGTTGATACTACTTTTAGGAAGAAACAAGTTTGAGCACTTCTGCAGTTCATGTTACATTCAGATACTTTCAGTCTAAGCCTTTCTGTGATTACCTCCATTTCCATGATACATCTCAACTCACAGACATTTCAATAACAACAGGTCAAGACTTAAAAATTAAGCCTGTCCAATAGCTCTGATTGATTGGCTTAAAAACAGTTTAAACTGATGCATTTTAAAAATGAATGAAATTCTCAGGCTTGATGGACCACTAAACTCTAAAGGATATTTAACTACCTATGGACTGCAGGCACTACCTTATAAATAAGGATTTTTTTCTGGACATGAAGTTGTAATGTATTTACTTAAGGAGTATTAATAGCTTAACACTTTTTTCAAGTTTACAAAATGAACTGATTTTTACAGAATTGTGAAAAGTTTTTTGTAATTATTAGTTGCATTTTAACTAACGACAAGTATCTACAAGGAGGAGAACGGTTTTCAAACAACGCTTCAGAAAGCTGATGAGGATATTTTACCAGGTTTTGATTCTCTTTGACACAAAAGTTACAATCCCCACTCATTTCAACACTCGGAGAAATTTATTCTTCTTGCGAATAGATGATGTTCCTCGCACCTACACACAACTTTCAGACTATCCTCCAAATATACAATTTGTAATTTACTCAAATGAAAGAAACCCACCAAAATGAAGCAGATGGATTCCAGTAATGTCAAGGAATGTTTCATGCCTGTGAAATCCATCACAGAATGGAAGAACTCCATTCAA